TGATGAGTTACACAGATGCTGAAATCCAAAGCCGGCTCCTCCAGGGTTGCGTCTTTCTCGTTCCTGATGGTATCGTCACATTTAGCATGTTAGTCATTCTGCAGATGCATCCAAAGCAACGCACATGACACCAGACCTGAACCCAAGGATTTCAGCATCAGAATGTTGCTGTCTGAGAAGCTGAAATTGTTTCACACTGACATATAATACTAGAAACAACAGCTGAATAATCCCTTTGTGATTGGGACAGAAAAGGCTGATTTTTAACTATTAAATGGTATTAAACTACTATAATTAGTATTTTCCTGTTTATGGCCAATTACCGATAAATGGCCGATATTATAAATCTATACTACTTAAAGAAAATTGATACACCAAAAACTAAAATAAACTGTTTTATTTAAAATTAAATAATAAATATCGGCCACTAAATAATAATTTTCACATTAAGGCCAATTACCGATAAATGGCCGATATTATAAATCTACACTACTTTAAAGAAAATTGATACTCTAAAAACTAAAGTAAATAGATTTATTTGAATTAAATAATAAATATCGGCCACTAAATAATCATTTTCACATTAAGGCTAATCACCAATAAATGGCCGATATTATAAATCTATACTACTTAAAGAAAATTGATACTCTAAAAACTAAAGTAAATAGATTTATTTGAATTAAATAATAAATATGGGCCACTAAATAATCATTTTCACATTAAGGCTAATCACCGATAAATGGTTGATATTATAAATCTATGCTACTTAAAGAAAATTGATACACCAAAAACTAAAATAAACTGTTTTATTTAAAATTAAATAATAAATATCGGCCACTAAATAATCATTTTCACATTAAGGCCAATTACCGATAAATGGCCTATATTATAAATCTATACTACTTAAAGAAAATTGATACACCAAAAACTAAAATAAACGGTTTTATTTCAAATTAAATAATAAATATCGGCCACTAAATAATAATTTTCACATTAAGGCTAATCACCGATAAATGGCCGATATTATAAATCTATACTACTTAAAGAAAATTGATACTCTAAAAACTAAAGTAAATAGATTTATTTGAATTAAATAATAAATATGGGCCACTAAATAATCATTTTCACATTAAGGCTAATCACCGATAAATGGTCGATATTATAAATCTATGCTACTTAACGAAAATTGATACACCAACAACTAAAACCGTTTTTATTTCAAATTAAATTATAAATATCAGCCAATGAATAATAATTTTAAAATTAAGGCCAATAATCAATAAATGGCCATTATTGTAAATCGACTATATAAAGAAAATTGATACATTCTAAAAACTGAATTAGTTTTTATTTCGTATTTTAAACATTAAATATCGGCCAATAAATAATAATTTTCCAATTAAGGCCAATAACTGATAAATGGCCGATAATATAAATTTATACTACTTAAAGAAAATTAATACACTCTAAAAACTAAAGTAAATAGTTTTTATTTAGAATTAAATATCAGCCGATAAATAATAATTTTTACATTAAGGCTAATAACCAAGAAATGGTTGATATTATAAATCTAGAAACAAGTAGAAACAATTTTCACTTAGAAATTACTAGTAAATTTCCCTAACAATTACAAAGAAATAGCAACATATTGAATTAAAAGTAATTTTTAAAGTAAAACATACTCTAATAATCTGTTTTATGTACAACTTTGAATTTTTTGCATTGTATGTTTTTAAAAAAAAACAAAGAAAACAAATAAACACTAAAAACAAAATAGCTTGTATGCTTAAAGTGAATTTTAAATGTGTTATTTTTAATAAGTTAAGCAAAATTTCAATATCTTGGTTAGTAAAAAAAAAAAATTTTTTTTCACTTAAGCCAGACAGCAACCACTTTCTTCAGAAAATGCAAAATACTAGTTGGTAATTCAAACATGCACGATCTCCACAGGAACATTTTTCATTATCAATTAGTTTGAGAAAGACAAAAAAAAAAGAAAAACAAGAGATGAAAGCATATTGCATTTACACGTGTGGAAAAGATCTGTTGCAATACTTAAAGAGGGGAGAGATTTGCAATACTGATTTGCCAATAAGCAGCATAAATCGTTCTTTTATTTCAAACAAAAGCTCATGCATCTCTCTGCAGTCCTACTGAACAGCCTTAAATGTCTCATGTTATTAACTCGTATATAACTAATGTATTACTATTGGCAGCTCTATTGATATTCCAGCGCTTGAGGCCAGAACCCCAGAGAAATTCTGCAGCATTATAGTGTTTGCTTTGTTTAGGAACTCACTGGCAGTTTCCAACCACAAAAGCGGTATAAAACACTGCAACAATAAGGCTTTTGACTACGTTTTTTCTGATTAGATTCAAACAGCTGCGTGTTTTTGGACGAGGAACTGTCAGGAAGAGAAAAAAGCCTGCAGACATTGCAATTATGGGTTTGTTTATCTGGTCTGCAGCCTGACACGGTTTAATCTCACATCATATCAGAAGAATGCGCTACAGATACCTGCACAATGATGGCTACCAGGTGTTTACCTGTTTGATCCGGTATCGGCGGGTGATGATACACATCAAGCATCTCTTTGTGATTATGGGATTCGCATAAAACAAATTCTCACAACTCGAATCTTTCCAAACAGCACATCAAAGCAGGCCGCTTTAAATATGGTGTCAAACTGGTTTTCTAAACGACGAAAGGTCAAACTACATGTGAGAAAGCTGACTCTGAATGAATGCACATGTGGGAGAATGAAATGCTATGCATTTTAGTTTGTGTTTTATAACTTTAATCTCTTTGAAATGACACAAATCAATCGGTTTCAGGGTTTCTGCAGGTTTTATGAAGGTCAATTTAAGCCTTTTAAATTTAAGTCCTTTTTAACAACACAATACATCGATATGGTCTCTAGATGTAAATATCACACAATGAGTTGTATTAGCAAACATTTCAGTTTAAAAATACAACTTTGAACTGATATCTATTACTTTTTAATTCATTTTTACACAAAATAGCTTTGCCAGATGTTGGCAAACAGTGTTGCCAGATTGGGCGGTTTTGAATTTGATTGTGCGGGTAAAAATTGGCTTGGGCGGGTGGACAAAATTTGGGCTGGTTTGGGACGTGAATTATTGTGGAGTGAGATGACACGAAGGCTCTATCACTGTAACTCCGAAATCAGAGCACATTTGAATTAATCATCACCGAAACTAAATATGTCAGTTTATACGGTCCTGTCTTTTATCTTTTAAACGGTAAAATAGAGCGACACGAAGGTAAGCGCATTATTGTTGTTGTTTTGTTTTTTTTATTGTCGGATTATAATTCAGTATGTAGCCGATCAATGAATGACACATTTTAAGGAGTTAAAAATGGCCCTTATCAACCTTGATTTACATATGCCATCACATTATTTTGACAGTTAAAGTTTTGGGCGGTTTTTGGGTGGGGTTTTGTGAGCTTTTGGGCTGGAAATCGTCCATCCAATCTGGCAACACTAGAATATAGAAATAACTTTTAATCACACTGCAAAAAAATTTATGTTCTTCCTCTGAATTTGTGTCTCGGTTGAAATCTGAAAATGTCTAAAGATTGTTAAATCAAGATGCATTTACTTGAGAAGCAAAATAACATACGCAGTCTTGTTTTCTGAGAAATGTATCAAAATGAGTTTATGATTGAAACAAGAACAAATATCTGCCAATGGGCTCAGATCAATAAACTTAAATCAAATGAAAAAGAAATTTTCATACCCCACTGACAGATGTTTGTTCTCGTTTTAAGCATAAGCTCACTTCATTTTGTTCAATTTCTCAGAAAATAAGACTTAATTTCTTCTTTTTGTGTCTCAAGTAAATGCGTCTTGATTTAAGGATGTTTACATATTTGTACATGAAAACAAAAATACTGAGGAAGATATAAATTTTTTGCAGTGCATGCAGGGCCGTTTCTAGGCATAGGCAAGGGCGCCAATGAGCGCACGTACTGGCACTTTTAGCAGGGTTGTGATAAAGAGTGGCACGGTCACCCTGAAATATGACTGCCGCCCCCACTGGATCCCCCAACATTACTGGATTATATATATATAATTGGGGGGGGGGGGGCAATAGGGATTTCGCCTAGGGCGTCAAATTGGCTAGAAACGGCCCTGAGTGCATGCAACATTCAATGCCATGAATCTGAATTTAAGACTTTCTGCTCTGATTTAAGAGCTTTTAAGGCCTTCGATTGTGGAAGGGAGAATTAAGATTTAAGACCCACAGAAACCCTGCATGTTCAGGCAGATTTTGCTCAGACACAGCCATCAAAAACTGCAAACTATAATAAAAATAAACCATGAAATCTGATTTGTACAAACCTCTTGCATAATGACAATGTGGACGTCAGTCCTAAAGACTGGATTTGAAAACCAAATCAAAACGGAAAGCAATGTGAATAAAGGCTGTTAGCACACAAACCTGGTTTGGTTTTCAAATAGTTTCTAATAAAAGTAAGAATAGCTGTCTGAGTGATTGTGCATCTGGTAATATCTATCAGAGGCATTTCTTGCATTCATGCATGCTGTTTTTCCTGCAGTAGCACCATTATGCCACCTACTGGTTGCAATGTATAAATTAGATTAGACTAAAACATTTTAAGTCCATATTCAGAAAAAAAAGAACCAAAAGAGGTGATTTTTTCCCTCATTTTAATTAAATGATTTAAATATATACATATATAAAAACTGAACATAAAAAAGAACATTATTTTATTCATATGCACATAGCAGCTGCTACACTGCATATTTCAAAGTCGGATTTAGGACACCAAAACTTCAGCTTATGAATATCAAAAATGTTACCTAGCAGATGATAAGTGCTGTTTTAAACTCTCAAACGTGAAATAAAACAACACTGGTTTGTTCTAGGATGAAGCTGGTGAACGGACCAGAAATACTGAATTAACAAAACAAGAAGAAACCGTTTTGATACAACAGCATAACATCAGTCGCTCAAACACAGTTGACCAAACTCGCCTGTACCTGTCTCTGTTTGTCCACGGCCCGCTCCATCGCTTTCAGAAAACCCTCGACTGTCATTGTGGAGGACTGGAGACAGAAGAGGAGACGTGATTACAACAAACAAAGACTAAAAAAATACCGTCATGTACCGTGAAACCGGTATAATTTTGAAAAATACCGTGATATAAATTTCTGGTCATACTGCCCAGCACTACTGCATGTTCAAACTCTGTTGTCTACAACTGATTATAAAACAAAAAGTACAACTCTAAAATTTGTGACACACAAAATGCTCCAAATTAAGAAACCACTGTTATCTCATTCACTGGACAGTTTTGAGATTTTGCTTTCCGTAACACGTCTTATTTCAGACTAGTGGAAAGAAAACATCTCAAATACACATTTAAGTGTTTATTTTATTGCATCTATTTGTGTCTGTAGATTTCAATTACAACATATATCTTCAACATATATCAGTTTTATTATTATCTTTATTCTAAAGGTTTTTATAGATGGGTTTGTTTATATATCATTCGCCTGATTCATACAGCATTTTATTTATTTCTAAAATTAAAATGAAACTTTTTTGGCTGTTGACAGTATTTTCTGATTTATGGAGTGATAAAAATGAGATATTCAAAAATCTTTAATTCTAATATAATTTTGAACCTGGCTTTTTTCAGGTTTCTGTTCTGGAAATGTATGCAAACTAGTGCATATTTAATTAGATGATGCCTAATATTAATATTATTACCAGTGTTACGCATTACAAGTAACACGAGTTATGTAATCAGATTACTTTTTTCAAGTAACTGGTAAAGTAAGACTTTTTTTTTTTAATTTACAAGAAAATATCTGAGTTACCTTTTGAAATAAGCAACGCAAGTTGACTAAATGTGACCCTGGAGCACAAAAGCAGTCATAAGGGTAAATTTTTCGAAATTGAGATGTATAAATCATCTGAAAGCTGAATAAATAATCTTTCCATTGGTGTATGGTTTGTTAGGATAGGACAATAT